CCTTAATTTTTAGTTTGCTTTTCTCGAAATAAAAATAATACGTATTTATCGCTATACACAAGGGTACCTAATGAAAAATGAAGAATAAGTTCAATATGGCTCAACACATTTTTGTTTTATTATTTGAGGTCCACAGTGTCGGTAATAAAAGGAAATGAAAAATTTAAGAATCAAATTATTTATTTATCATAAATCCAATTTGCTTAGTTCGAAATCTACCAAAAATACATCACTCTCATTCAGTAGCGTAAACTTTAGGTCCCAAAGGATCACACTTATACTACTCTAAACAGTGTATTCTTACAATATAAAAAAATKTTTGTTAGAATAGGTACCTAAATAAATCAAAATTTAAAAGCCAAACAAAACAAATAAACATACTATTTGATTATGCAACAGTTTTTGAGATTGTCTTGAGAAAAATCAGAATATAATTAAAATTTAGAATGGACTAATAAAATAGTATTGAAATATAACTAATAATGATATTGAGTACATTCAAATACACTTTAAGCCACTCATAGTTAGTATATAATTTGTGTGCAATAGAGTACTAAAACTAAAGTGAACTTTTTATTAAAGAATTTTCGTTGGTCATATTTCATGGTTAATTGATGATTAACTTAAAGTTTCAAAAAAGGATACAGCAGTGATTACAATAGCTAAGTTGTGTATTTCAAAACTATGTCKAACTCATGGTATGAAATCAAAAAATAAATCTTCAAAGATGGGTACAAAAAATATTTATTTTCCGTATATTATAACAGTCCAAAATATTCTATGTCCACGTGCAAAATTTAGGCGCGAAAAATTTTTTTTTACAAACACGCACTACATTTCAATTTCGGGGAATAGTGTTTTTGGTAGACTTATCGAAAAACGAAATAACACAAAACCAATTCCACTACGACATTCGTCCGAATGAAAACGTTGTAATGAAAGAATTTATTTTAAATACGCTGAAAATACGTTTTCAGTCGTTTTTATCGGAAAATAAAATAATGATCATACGACATACTTGTATATCTTCCGGTTTGACAACGCTAACGTAATGGATCGGACCTATCCACGTCCCCACTGGCTCGTAATTGTACTGTTCGGCGTTCTCTTTGAGTTTTGCTATCGTCTCTAAAAAAAACATTCAAAAATAGTATTACCTACTCCTTTAACACCGCATTTCCGTGCGAAGCGAATTTTCATTCTGTTCGAAATCGTCTATAATCATACGAGTCAACAGCGATTGATGATGACGATGAAGATGATGATTGCTATTTTTTTATTATTGTTTTTATTATGGTTATCATATTTTAGTGGTCCTAACCGTCGTACGTGTGAGTGAACATGGATGTGGTTCCGATAAGTGGATAAGACGGAGGTCCGGGAAGTTTTCCAGCTAAATCCAAAAAATATCGATACTTCCATCTCCAATGAAACCACAAAGCCAATATCAATGCGACCGTTGAATAGATTATGAGTTCGGGTGATGATAGTTTGACGTACATCTACAATAAAACAACAACAACGTTTCTTTACACAAACTTAAACATTGTAAATTAGCAAATAATCATCTTAAATGTGGAAAATAAATTATTATAAGTTTAAAAATTATTGGCTAATCGATATTGTTTTTTAATTGATCCCTTAATTATCATGTTATCTAAACCTCGAAGTGAAAAATATTAATTTTCATTAAAATAATTTAATTTTTACATAAATTATAACACTTATTGTTTGTTCTTTAAAATGCATTTGATTTAATATTAAATATAATCACATTACAACTGTTGTCTGATTCCCTTGAAATCGCTCTGTCTCGAGTTCGTCGATATTTAGCCAAACCAAGTACATATTTTGAAGCGTTTAAAATAAAAGCTTCAAAAGACTATTGACACTGCCATCAAGACTATGCGAATTGAACGCAATTATTACATTAAATTATTACGTTTAAAAATAAGCGAAATAAAATTTAGTTTTCTGAATCACACCTAATACCATAGTATGATATTGTTAACAATTTTAAAATATGTTTTTCAATTTTTCTGTATTAACGTTTGAATTTTATTTTTTGTTTATCATTTTCAGTAAAATATTATTATATTATTGTTTTAACTATTAAGTATAATGTCGAAGTTTTATTATAATTTATTAGGTAAATAAAAAAATTATAACTGTATAAAAACAAGTTCTGATCTCCCCCTATTTACAATAACATATCAATTATATTATATACATGCCTTCATTGTTTATCATTTTCAGTAAAATATTATTATATTATTGTTTTAACTATTAAGTATAATGTCGAAGTTTTATTATAATTTATTAGGTAAATAAAAAAATTATAACTGTATAAAAACAAGTTCTGATCTCCCCCTATTTACAATAACATATCAATTATATTATTATACAATATAAACAATGAAGGCATGTATATAATATTTATCAACGAAATAACCGTGTTTTAAACCATTACGCGTTTAATTCATATATGTTAAAATCAAAACAATACCGTTTGAATATTAAAATAACAAATTATTTACATCACTTCTTAACATTTGTTTTTGATATTCAAAGATAAGAGTTATAAGGTAGTGTAAGTTAATCGATATAAGTCGTAATACTAATATAATATAATACAATATTTCATTACTTACTATGTGCTTACGTGTCAACCTATCACTATTAAAAATACTGAAAGACTATAGTGTAAATTACATTCTTTCAGAATATTTCTATAGTCTCAACAAATATAAAAGTGCCAAGGATGACAATGACAAAAGCATACATCAAATTTTATGCGAAGAGATATATTTTCTGCATGCAAAACACAATTATTTATGACATGAAATGTAATTTCTTATATATGTTTATTTATACATTAGAGACGCTTCCGACGGCATAAAGTATTAAACCGTTGTTAAAATTGTAATCAAATTATTTATCAATTAGAACCATATAGTATAATGCAAGCTCACATTTAATGGTCATAAACACCTTAAAAAAATCATCGTTATTAATTTACCATMTTGATGCTAAATCCCATATTACGTTTCAAACAAAACTTCCGTCTAATATCTATATACAGTCAGACATCGAACAGGTATAACAATATTTTAATCTCCCGGTCATTATCCAATCATCGTGTTATTATATTATACCTATTTAATGACCATTAGACTACTACCATTCGTAATGTAAATACTGAAATAAGTAGGTACGAGTATGCGTGAGGCTTGAAATCGAAATAGACTTTTTCAATTTTTCATTTCTATATTGGTGTTTTCTGATTTCAATTTAAAAATAATATATTGATATTTTAATTATATGAGATTTACATTAATACACAACAACGATAATATTGTGTTCTMGTTTGTCTTTTATTGAGATATTTGTTTCAATTTTAAATACAATTTTTACATTTTTACATGATTTTTTAATTTTTTTTTTTCTATTATTATTATTATTATTAACCAGGTCTGACCTGTTGAATATGGTTGAATTTTAACTTAAATTAAATTTTTCATTTTGATAATAACCATCGATTTTAATTGTATTTTAATTTAAATATAATGTTGAATATCAWTAAAAAATATTTTTGATATTAAAATTACTTTTTATTTTTAAAACATTTATAAAGATATATATATAAAGGTATTTATCTATATTTGAATAGTAATTTTAAACTATGCTGCGTGTAGATACACTTTAGTTAAACCAGATGTGAAAAAATATCATTGATGTGATGCGTTAAAACACATAAATAGGGTGATGTAATTATATACAGTTTAGAATGAGGATTTTAATTTTTGAGAATATTGTTGACTAAGAAAAAAATAGAACATTTACGTCAGATTCTTTTCAATTAGAATATTGTTACAATATTATATTGTTTGATTGACCAATAATTTTGAAGTTTTACATCACTGGTTGAATAAGTTTTTAAATAATTTTATAATTTAATTTATTTTATAAGTTGCTCAGCGTTTTATTACCATATAGTTATAATTATGATAAAATAAAATGTTTATCTTTTCAAAAACTCTTGCAATTAATATTATCACCATGATAATTTATAATTTCATTATAAGTATGATTTACAAAATTTGATGTATAAAAAAATGTACGGGAATTTGAATATGGTATACCACACCGGTCATATAACGTGGTCCAATCAATAAAAAAGCATTCATAAATAATGACATAAAGTTTGCACACAAAATAAACACTCAATAATAATAATAGGTACTGGCATTGTACACAGTGTGATATTTTAAAGGTTAACACACTCATCTTATCAAAAGTTCTGACCGTTTTTGGAAATATTGTATTAAATTAACGCGGTTGTCCCAAAGCAACGTTTACTTTTCATGGTTATAATTTTTAAGTTTTTACATTCTTGATTGAGATCTTATATTTTCAACAGATCATCATAATATTTTAAATACAAAAATTAATAATTAGTAATATTTTGTATACCTATAAAAATTTATCATTAAGTTATTAATGACCTATATTGTTGACATGTCATATTGTACAAAATTAAAATTAAAGTCGTATGCAATATGTAGAAAATTGTCCACTTTCTATGTTACACAKCATCAGCTTCTAAATAAAACATAATATTATTATTACGTTAGATAAATAAAGTGTATATGCATGACCATTGAATAAGAARCAAACGATTAAAATAATAAAAAAAATTCAATAATATTGCTTATTATTGCGATGACTTAAAATCGTGTAAAAAAATGTATTTAAAAATATAAATTTTTTTTRAAATAAATTAGCATTTAGCTTTAAAAAAATCGCCTACTATTTATCGCATATTTTATTCACAAACACTACCTATACTCATATAACTCAAAAATAAATCAAAGCYATAAGAAATGCAAACAATAGACTACTTTCCACGGTGTTGGTACCATCTAAAGCAGTATTATAAAACATAATATTGCATATTATTATTATTAAGTGCGACGAAGGTATATTATTATTACTCATTTTTTGTTTAATAATAATTTTTCATTGTCTCGCCACCGACATTTTTACTCAAACATCTCGCCGAGTAGGTACAGCCAATACAACGTAAGTAGGTACCTATCCCTAACCATATTTAAAGGCCGTCCACATGAGTACAAGGGTTTAGGGACCCTTATTGTTATGCCGGTGTTCAGCATCGCGCACGGTCCAGGAAACAATGGAATTTTCACCACGCGTGAAACTCAACAAAACGATACAAAAACATGATAATATAAACGATATCGTGTATACTGGTAGGTATACACACTTTCCACTTGACACACACATACACAAAAGAAGTTTTATAGAAGTTTTTCATTAACGCCGGGAAACACGTCTCATATAATCCTCACTATAAAAATATGGTAGTAAATGTTGTCGATGCAAAACATAGGTATTGTATGACCGTCGTAGTTTTTTCTACTTCAACTCGATCCATCTGGATACCGACGGTGAACAGAACTACAACAGTCGTGGTTATAGGTACTATTAAGTTAAGATTCACGTATTCAAATAAATCAACTACATTTCTGACAGACATTATTTTTTGGTTCGCTAATTTAAAATTAAAAAAAAAAAAAACAGAGATTGTCAATTCATATTTTTAAAAGAGTAAAAACTACAAATTCATTGATATATTATATAAAATTAAAAATAATTCTAAGCATAAAAAATATTTTTCGTTGTAAAAACGAACTGTAGGTATATTATGATAATATGACATCGAACTAAATATATTTAAAATCATATTTCTAATAAAAGCTCGTAAAATTCTACCAAAAAATTGCTATTTAGTGCCAAAAGTATCATCATATCTCTCTGAACCCATATTATATAGCATAATACTATTATACTGCACCAGTAATTTAATGATATTATTCAMTCTCCATAAGCCTTTTACATTATAGATTTATAACTAAATGATAAAATGAATAATATTATAGTATATTTGTAATACCTGCTGATCGTAATTCGTAATTATTATAGAATCAAAATTAAATAAAAAATTAACGTTTAAAAGCATCCTATACCGAAATACTTAAAAGGATGCCATCGCAATATTATTTGATTACTCTTACACACCCTTGTGCAACATAGGTGAGATAAAACGCATGTAAAATCGTTATTTATGATGATTGAGTAATGTTAGAGTAAAATCTTTTATCACGAAAATTATTAAAGATAGAGGATACTATTTTTGAGGGTTGAAATAACGATTTTATACTTTTTACTTTATATTAAGCTTAAAATTATTTTGTAAATTTAAATGCATCTTATATTCTTTTGAGACGGTATTTAAACAAATTGATATTATCATCTATATTTTTGTAACAAGTGATTTTGCTCTAAGGTTACTCAATAACATAAAAAAATAAAATAAATTTTGTATGAATACGATTTACGTCCATGTTGAGCGTTGGTCAGAAGAGAAAACAAACAGTTCATTGATACGTTTTTAAAGTAGAAAAGCAAAGGTACTCAGTAT